TCCACGCCAGTGCTTAGGGCCGGCGCAATGGAGATAATGAATCCGGGAAGAAAGGGAAAATTGACGAAAGAAGTCGACGGCACGACCATTTAAACTAATCTCATGTTAGTAGTAATCTTATGTCACCAATATATCGAACCAACGTCGAAAAAGTGAAGATCAGAAGATCCGCAAAAACAGCAACACATCAAGTGATCGTTAAGAAATGTATTCGTTCGATATGCTCTTATCGGCAACATTTTACAATCAAAGACAAATTTTATGAAGTACCCAATGACATTCGAAACGACTAATCCTATGGGCTAATCCTATGAAAATAATTACAGAACGTGATATCAGTAAAATATATAAGTTTATTATTGTGTTGTTCGGATAATAATTTGGTTGGGTTTTTTTTTTTTTTTTTTTTAAACGAAAGATGATTTTCTTGTAGTATATAAATATTTGATCATGAATTAATTGCATTAATTTAATCTCTCGGTCATCTCACGCTGGTTTGCACCAATTGCCAATACCTCTATTGTGTCGTTATCAGCTTCAACGTTCTGCATTTCCGAGGTCAAAATTGCTAGTTCGAAACTTTGCAAACCAGTTTTGGCACTGGCGTTTTGCCAATACCTCTTCTCCATACACAATGGTTGGCTTTTTTCTTGCTTGAACAACATTTTTACCTTTTCGATAATGAAAAAGTAAAATGCGGCAAAAATGCTTCCTTTCGCTTTCGATATTTAAAAGGCTACCAATGAAAACTCACATTCAATTGAACTTTTTCACACAGCAAGGCTTGCTATATCGGCTATCAAAATATTTAGTGAGAACGTGAGTTTAAGTGTGAAGTCGGTTGTGAAAAAATACAATTAAATCTTCTGTTAGGAAAAAACGAAATTATTTTTCGAAGAACCGAATAACACGACTAGACTAAGCATTTTATTTTATTTTTCTGAAATATTGCCGATAAAGTAACTGCTACTACTGCAAGAATTTATTCCTTTCTTATTGGTTTGTATTAATAATAATAATAATAACAATTAGAGAGTTAGTCGGGCAAGATCATTTTGAGCTGAGAGTACGGCCAAAATAAATTGTGAATGTATGTGTGTCCCGTTCAGGAATGCAATTGTAAATAAAAGAACTTTGAAGTTTATTTCTCTTGAACAAAATATCCGCGATCTAGTGATACTGTACGACTGACTGTATCTTGTAAAAGCGAATTTCATAACAGTATTTTATAAGAGGGGCAGACAAAGAATTATTTTTGGCAAAGCGAAATAAAGAATATGCGCATAAGTAGCCGAATAGGTATGAGTTGCGACTACCAAAGTCAATATTCGCGAGATCAAATCTCAAGTGAAGAAGAGCTTAGTCTTTCGTTGATAAGGCCATATTATAACTTACCAATTACACCCACCAGGCTGCGGCCACCACATCTCTATTTTCTCGCTGCTTTACACCCTTTACACGCATAGGTGACATCATTTAAATGTATGGTCATATGCGGAGAAAGAAAAGGTACTTAAGTGTTAAACTTATCTTAATTTATTTTCCACACGACAGGCAATGTTAATTTTGTTTTTAAGCTTCTTCTATCCAATGTAAAAAACTAGACATATAACTATGGATTATTAATTAATGTTCAGATCAAGACAGTTAAAGAGAAATTATAATTATATTACATCTTTTATGGCGGATGAAAAATGTGTCGTTAGAAAAGTTAACAAATCTATCTGATCCTTTAAATGTGTGCTAGACATTGTAATCTATTATAATAGGCGTTAATGGCTTCGAGATTACATAAGGGTGCATAAATAAATGAAATAAAATATAAAAAAAAAAACATTATATAAAAAGTTGTGAAAAAGTTTCAGAGGCGAAAATGTAATTTTTTTAAATATTTAAATATATTGTTTCTCCATTTCTGCAAATTGCCTGCCAACCTAAAAAATTTTTTTAGATAAGCTTTTTTTAGGCGGCTGATGTAGCTTTATCCCTTAATATATTATTGTATGTCTATCTAAATTGAATTGAGGCATAGTTTAAATATAAATATTTTCCAACAAGTTTAAAAAAAAAAAAAAAAGGGAAAAAGAAAACCATAGATCGAAACATTAGTTAACCACAAACTAAAGGCGTTTTGCATGTATGATAGCTACTACTTCTACCAAAATGGGTTCATTTGATCGATCATTTTTATCGTGTTGCTACAGTCGCATAAATGATGCGAAGGAGAGCGAAAATTTAGCTCAAGCATTCCAAGCTTAAAAAATGGTTGCGATCTGCCGACATACCTACGCCTACAATAGATTTCGATCTGAGGCAACTTTGAAGAACACTTTTATGTTCTTTCATGTTTTTGCCTATGAAATTTTCGATTGCGTTAAGGTATTTCCATATCAATTTATTTTCAAAAATTTTTAAATTTTAATTTTTAATGTGCTCGAAAGTTGAAAAGTATCCAACTGAACCGCACGGTGATCCTAGTGTTGATATTATATTCCTGCAACAACAACAACTGTCTATGCTATGCTATGCTATGCTATGCTATACAATTATACAATCGAAGAGATGGCTGGGCGACTTTTTTAAACATTGTATTGTATACAATTAAATAAAATTCATATTCGGTGCTTGGAGTAAAAAAATTGAAAGGAAAAAAGAAATAAGAGAGCAATAAATAAAATTCATACAATATCGACAATATTCATTGTCAATTTCGGCTCACTTTATTCGAGTAAGTTTAAGTTACCCGCATAAGCATTAAGTGACTTGCAATAACGTTTCTAAAATATTTCAATTTATAAAATCGATACATTCGGATATGGTTTTCACACCATTAGGTATGTGCAGCTACATAGTTAAAAATGTTTTTATGGTTGGAGATTGACTATAGTTCGACAAGAGAAAAAAATAAATAAAAAAATACTAAGCCACACATTAATTCAATTCGATTCCTAATCAAATATACGGTTTTCTGAAACGCAGTACACTAACAATATTAAAATACGTGAACATATTATAAATATATTTCAATGAATCCAAATTAGAGAGATGCAACAATTTCCCTGTGATTTTTTTGCAGAAAAATTCTCTCTTTAAATAAAATTCGAGTAATATGCGAGTATTGATAACAATTTTGGCAAAATATTATTTTATACGTGAACAACGCCATCGTTATGAGTGAGACAATCAATACAAAGCTCCTTTACCAATGCTATGACTTCTTATACCTCACATTGCCACGATAGTAGAGAGTATATTAAATTTGTGCGTACGTTTATATACGTGTACCATTCGAAAAGGCAGAGGACAAGCGCACCTCTTATTATGCCGATCAGCTCTGAAAGATTTTTTGAATTGATTTAAGCTTGTCTCTGCGTGCGGCAATTTTCGGCTTGAGCCCATCTCCCTATAAAGGCGCTCCAAGATGTAAAAATGATGCAAGCTATTTGATAGAAGGCCTTGCCCCCCAAATATTAGGATTTTACTTGTTTTTTTTTTTTCCTTTTTTTTAAATACATTATTTTATTTGCTCTTCGTGAGAACGCTTTTAGACAAAGATAGTAAATTTTTTCAACTTTTTGGTTGTAAGGTTGCAAGAGAAATATAATATAATAACGAATCAAAAGACAATAATGCTTTGTGACTGGTAAGGTATCACTAAGCTCGAATAGGGCCCCAAATGTCAATTCACAATTAGTTTTTTATATATCACATGTCAGACTGACTGCAGTGACTCTCTACACTTTATATTTCGATGTAGTCTTCTGAGTGCCAATGCTTATATCAAAGGTTGCCCTCTGATGAATATGCAATCGGTTTAAAATATAAATTTAAGAACTTTAGGATGTTTCCCCGGACCGGAAAATTAATAGATTGACGAACCTGAAATGTCTTTATAGTCGGATCGAATGTGATTTCTTTTTGGATGCGATAACAAAATATTGCTTTACATTACATTTCCTTCTTATTTAATTTTAATTCAAATTTATTCCATGAAATTCTTTACAAGTTTCCTGTGTTCGACAATCAAAATTTATTTGTGATTCTATACATAACCTCATTCCATGACTATTATTTATTGCTTTGTCTAACTGCCTATTGCATGTTTGTTGCGGTTTATGGGTTTAGTAAACTTAGTAACTTAGCTTAAAAGATTCGAAACTTTCTGGTCAATGGAATTGTGTAGATGATTGAATGTGCCTTTGAAAGCTATGTATGTTGTATTGTTTGTGGTTTCTTAAAAACAAACTAATAGGTGTGCAAAAAGACTCTCTCTCTCTCTCTCTCTCTCTCTCTCTCTGTGCTGAAATTGATTGCTTTATACCTCACACACCTCACGCATTCGTTTCTTCAGTCATTATCGCTATATATAGCTCAGACATCGAAGTTTCTAAGTTATAAGTTTTTAGTTATTTACAAGATGTCATTCAATGTCAAGCAGCAATGTGAACCTAAAGGGATGGACGTCAATTAACAGCATATGCGGCAGTGCATAATATTCTGTTTTAAAGTGACAAATAGAATCCAGCTTAGGGTACGGAAATTATGAAGCCAGCTTGGACGAAGGTGCTGAATGGGGAAATTCAAAGCTTATTAGACGTTATTACAGCACAGACGCACAAGCAGGTCACTGTACAGTTAGAAATAAACTCAATAAACGGCAAGATGAACAATGAATCCGGACGACAATTCAAGGCGAAGAAAAAGCGTGGCTGGATCTAGGACAATCATCGACATCTCTGCTACGGTGCGTTTAGCGGAATTGAAAAGAAATCATCTGTTACGAAACTGTCATGTCTGGACAACAGCAAACGTGGCCAGTCAAACTAAGCGACGTGCTCGAGGAAAACAACAGTATTTACTCAAAAAGGCCTCACGCTTCCACTTCTGCGGCAAGAGCAATTAAGCAAGTGACCTTTCACTTTTAACATTTGCGGCTCATTCTCCAGATACGGTTGTTTCTGAGCACCATTTGCT